ATTTTTTTTTTTTTTGAGTGCCACAACCTCTAACTCTTGGGCTCAAGTGATCCTCTTCCCTCAGTTTTTCTATTTTTAGTAGAGACAGGGTCTTGGTTTTGCTCAGGTTGGTCTTGTATTTGTGAGCTCAGGCAATCTACCCACGTTGGCCTCCCAGAATGCTAGGATTACAGGTGTGAGCCACCACACACAGCCTGGTGATATATTTTTAAAAAACAAAATACAATCACTATCTGATTGGACAAGTAGCATCATAGGTTATGGTCAAACATCATGCATAAAAGGACACCTGTATACATTTAGGCTCTTTTTTTTTTTTTGCAGTTTTGGCCGTGGCCGGGTTTGAACCCGCCACCTCCGGTATATGGGGCCGGCGCCCTACTCCTTTGAGCCACAGGCGCCTCCTAGGCTCATTTTTTTAAATTGTCAAATTCAGGAGGGTTTCAGAAACTACGGGCCTACTGTCCAAAAGGCAAATGGTAACAGGCCATATGATTCAAAATGTAGAACTATGAAGACTAATTGTTTGCAGGCTTATGTGGACAGTGGAGTTAACATAGTTTTATATCATGGTTTATTTCATGAAATGATAAAGTAATAACTCATGTCCAATTTACATAAACTTAGCACAGGCACACTGAGGTACAAATGTGTGATCATGAGATGCCCCAGCCTGATATCCCATGTTAGGGTCACCATGTCTCTTCTTCCTCCTCCTCAAGACTCTGTAGGATAGACTTTTCAGCAAATGGTGTTAAAACAATGAATATCTGTAGGCAACAACAAGAGAAATTCAACCTAACCCTCATATCCTAAAAAAAAAACCAAAAAAACAGTAATTTAAATGTATAAGGTAAAATAACAAAACTTTTAGGAAAAAATATTTCAAAAAATTCAATGGTACAAGGTAAAACAAAACTTTTAGGAGAAAACATTAATTAAAAACATTAAGACCATAAACTTGGTGAGAGGTTCTTCTTACCCATGGTTTGAAAAGGACAAAGTGCCTTTGAAGTAAAGACATGTATTAATACAATACAAATGGCTCTGCCTACAATGACAATGCAAAACTACATACTTAGTCATTTAAAAGGCTCTAAAGAGTTCAAAGTTAATACATATATATATACATATATATATATAATTTTTTTTTTTTTTAATAAAAGACAGAGTCTCACTTTGTAGCCCTGGGTAGAGTGCTGTGGCATCACAACCTCACAGCAACCTCCAGCTCTTGGGCTTAGGCAATTGCCTCAGCCTCCTGAGTATCTGGGACTACAGATGCCCACCACAACACTTGGCTATTTTATTGTTGTTATTGTTGCAGTTTGGCCAGGGCGGGGTTTGAACCCACCACCCTGGGTATACGGGGCCGGCACCCTACTCACTGAGCCACAGGTGCCATCCCACATTAATTATTTTTACATCTTTCTGTACAGTATTTTTCTTCTTCTTCTTTTTTTTTTTTTTGAGACAGAGCCTCAAGCTATTCCCCTGGATAGAGTACCGTGGCATCACAGCTCACAGCAACCTCCAACTCCTGGGCTCAAGTGAGTCTCCTGCCTCCGCCTCCCAAGTAGCTGGGACCATAGGCGCCCACCACAACGCCTGGCCATTTTTTGGTTGCAGCCATCATTGTTGTTTGGCAGCCCGGCTGGATTCAAACCTGCCACCTTAGGTGTATGTGGCTGGTGCCTTAGCCACTTGAGCCACAGGTGCCGAGCCCAGTATTTTTCTTAATGTAAGGTAATACTAACACATGCAGCTCAAAACTAAGCTCAAAAAGATTACCAAAGGAGGAATTCCAAAATACTCAAGACTAAAGGCATTAGTCAGTCAATTTTAAGTCCATGGTAACAACTGTAAAACTCACACATCCCTACATTCATACACACACAGGTTTACCTGTTAAAATTCCAGTAACATAACAAACCACACAATCTTTTAAAAGATTAAACTGAGATCTCTTTTATGTGTTTGTCTAAGTTTATCATAAAATTTTACTTAATTTAGCTAAGTGCATTGTTATGGCTCTATTTCAACCTCTAGATAATTGTTGAAGTGCTGTTGGAGAACTCTAAGAAAAGGTAGAGAAGCTGAAAAATGGCAGAGGGAAGAACTAGAGCACTCCTGGGTTACATCAGATACAGTGACACTATCATCCACATCCCACAAAAATATAAAGGAAAGGAAATAAATTGGGATCAAGAAAAAGAATGTGTGTCATAAATTTTTTTTGAGACAGTCTCACTTTGTCACCCATGGTAGAATGCTGTGGCATAATAGCTTACAGAAACCCCAAACTCATAGGCTCAGGTGATCCTCTTGCCTTAGTTTTTCATTTTTAGTAGAGAGGAGACAGGGACTCACTTTTGTTCAGGTTGGTCTTGTACTTGTGAGCTCAAGTGATCCACCCGCCTTAACCCCCCAGAATGCTGGGATTACAGGAGTGAGCCACCTCACCCGGCTTGTGTATTAGGTTATTAAACATGAATAGTTTTTTTTAGATCAAAGATCTTAATATCACAGGAAAATATGCTCATTCATATGTACATCCTTCAATATAAAATTGTTTCATAATTTATACCTCCATGTTTCTCATAAAGACATAAAGACATGTGCCTGCTCCTCAAGGGTACAGAAAATGTGGGAAAAAGCAGGTTCCCACAAAATGTTTTCAAGCAAAATGTCATTTATCTTTACTGTCCTTACACTGGACCACCATAAATGTATATAATAGGAAACAAAAAAGGGAGAGGCTCTTTTGTTTCTGAAACATTATTCACCTCTACCCCTAGATAAAATAGTGGGGAAAAATGGTAAATTAGAAGGAGCATCTTGGGCAGCACCTGTTGCTCAGTGGGTAGGGTGCTAGCCCCATATACCAAGGGTGGTGAGTTTGAACCTGGCCTTGGCCAAACTGCAACAAAAAAGCAGCCAGGTGTTCTGGTGGGTGCCTGTAATCCCAGCTACCAGGGAGGCTGAGGCAAGAGAATCGCCTAAGCCTAGCAGTTGGAGGTTGCTGTGAACTGTGACATGACACTCTACCAAGGGCAATAAAGTTAGACTCTGTCTCTTTTAAAAAAAAAAAAAAAAAAAAGGAGCATCTCAGGGAAATCTAAAAAGAGCTGTGTACCCATTTCTTTATATTTTTCATGTCTCCTTCTTTCTTTAAATATACCTTAAATAACATTTTACCGTAAACTAAGTAGAAAGATATGGCTGAATGCTTTCCTATGTGCACAATAACCAGTAGATCTATCTCATGGGTGAATTATCAGATGAAGAATAAGACTCTAGGCTGGGTCATTTTCTTTCTTTCTTTCTTTTTTTTTTTTTTGAGACAGAGCCTCAAGCTATCACCCTTGGTAGAGTGCCGTGGCATCACAGCTCACAGCAACCTCCAACTCCTGGGCTCAAGCAAGTCTCCTGCCTCCACCTCCCAAGTACCTGGGACCACAGGTGCCCACACAACACCCGGCTATTTTTCGGTTGCAGCTGTCATTGTTGTTTGGTGGCTGGATTCGAACCCGGCACCTTAGGTATATGTGGCTGGCGCCTTAGCCACTTGAGCCACAGGCACCAAGCCCATTTTCTAACAAGATTCTTT